ACATCAGAACATCAGAACATCAGAACACATCGAGACGCCGTCCACAAGAAAAACTTCGCCAGGGCCTCTGGGCCGTCTCAGAAGTTTTCCGAGCACTCCCCGAAGACACACGAAAAACTTCTCTGAAGGGGCGAGGGCTTCTGAGAGGTCCCGCCGCCTTCTGAGAAGGCCTACTCCTGAGACGCACAAGACATACTAGCACGATGTGTCCATCTCGGAGGCATGCGTCCGATCCGAACATATAGCACGGCCACCTTGGAGTATTTCTTTTCCCAAGCGGTACGGCCAGAAAGAGCTCAGCACGGAGCCCTGGGAGGCCGACGCACAGACAGTATCAGCATGCTGGGGCGACGCCGATCTCCCTCTGACTTCCCCCGGCCTCGCCACCCATGATATAAGGAGCCCACGAAGGACGTACGCGCCCAACCGAGTACTTGAACACGGCCCCCTGGTCCGCGTGACCGGCCGCGCGACACGAACGATCACGCCATGCGTACTGTCGAACCCAACATGGACTCGTGTACGTGTACGCCCATCTGCCGCTCCTGATGAATCGGGACCCGCCAAAGGAGGGGTGACCCTGAGGGGGGCATGAGCTCGATCCGCTGGCGCAGCCGCAAACAGATGCCTCCCGCATGCCCCACCTATCAGCAACTGCCGAGAGCTGCCGGCGACTGGGGGGCCTCTGTTTTGGGCGGTTCGGTGCAAAAACCGATCGAACTCTCTCTCTCTCTCTCTCTCTCACACACACACTGGGGCAAACCTCCCCCCCCCCTTGCGGTGGCCCGAGATAGAGGCCTCTTAGATGCGGTCCGAGTAGATGGGGTCGGAGGATCTCGCCGCGTCGCCAATATATCGGCGATGCATCGCCGATGCATCGTCGATGCACTGGCGACGTCGGCGAGGCATCGGCGACGTCGGCGTGGAGAAAAATGGGCGTGTAGAAAAATGGGCCCCACATCGAGCCGCATGACCGATGCATCGCCGATACATCGGCGATGCGGCACAACCCTCCGACCCCATCTACTCCGACCCCATCTAGGAGGCCTAGACTAGGGAAACGAACTCTATACACCGACGCTTTTCCCGACCCTGCGCTGAAATTCGCACAGGAACGTGGATTCTGGTGTATACGGGATCCTGGTGTATACATGTGTCGTTGTTTCCCTTGGAAGACGGGGGAGAAATGCTCACCGCACCACCCCGACGTCGTCCCTGACCCTTCACAAGCCGTGGGATTGAAACACAACCCGCCACTGGTAATGTATATGTTCCAGTCCCTTTAAGTATACGGTGTCCCTTGTAAGTCAACAGAAGTATACGGTGTTTCCCTTGAAAAACGGGGGAGAAGCATACCCTGACCCTTCAAAAGTCGTGGGATTGCCACCAGTGGTAATGCACATGTTCCAGTCTGCGATCGACGAGAGCAGCACGATCGGCTCGCACCGACGAGGCAGCCCAACGGCCCCGGAGCAAGGGCTCCCAACTTCGCGCTTCGCGCTCCGCGAAGCGCGAAGCGCGAATAACTTCGCGCTCTCGCGCCGCCCCCCCAAAGGGAGAAAAGGAGGACGAGGAGGAGGGGGAGAAGGAACGAGGACCGCGAAGCGCGAAGCGCGAATAACTTCGCGCCCTCGAGGGAGCCCTTGCGGAGAGGCGCCACGCGGTGGCGCACCCGCCGCGGGGGGCTGCGGCCCCCCGCCCGGGCAGCGCCCGGGAGGCGCCTCGACGCGTCGCGGCTTCCGCCCCCCTCCCCGGGAGGCGGCCCGTCGGCCGTCGGCGCCCCAGCCAGGCCTCGTGGACCCGTGGTCGGCTGCACTTCAGTCGGGCCCGTCCCCTCTACAGGAGGAGTCCTCAAAGATCGTTAAAAGTATCTGGGGGCCGTTGTTTTTACTATTTTTGAGCATTTGGGAAATATTTTTCTGAGTGTTCTTAACTTTGTCGCCCAAAATCCCCCTGTAGGGGGACAGGCCCGACCTAGGGCTACACGCAAGAGGGACCCTGGGCAAGAGGGACCTCTGGCGCGTGTTTTTTGGGGGGGGCGCGGGGGGGCCAAGCCCAAACGCGCAAGAGGCTACTATCGCATGGCGCTCGGCGGTCGGGTGGCCCCAATAAGCCCGCAGCAGAAGTCACTCTGGCGAAGGGATACTCTTACGCCTCGTCGATGTGGCTATGACGAAACCAAGACGAGGACAGGTCCGGGCGAGGATGCGTTCGGGAATCTACTGGCCCAGGTCAATCCAGACCCAGGTCAGTCAGGCCTTGCAGGAGCCTGCGAGACCCTGCGGGATCCTGCAGGATCCTGCACCCGAGTCCGGGTAAGTGCACCCCTGGCTCTGCCGGATCCTGCAAACTCCAGCTCTCTGACAAACCCCCGTTTGCACTGACCCCCCCGTCTCGCGAAACCCGGAGAATTGAGAAGCTCTGAGATCCCGCGGCTCTGGAGGATGTCTCGGGCGCCGCGGCCGTCTCAGACCGCTCCGGATCGGATTCGTCCTCGCCCTGGCCCCGCCCGGTGTGGGCAAACACGCGTGAGCCCTGCAGCGACGCTGCTGCAATAAAGGAACGCTGAATAGGGAACGAAGCTTCCTCTTGGCTCCAGAGCAGCATTGATACACGAGGGCCACACGAACAACCGCGTAAGTGACCGCCTTTTTGAATCCCCGGCTGACGGCCGTTACCCGGGGGGGGTCGGGCGGGAGGGTAAGGGTAACGGCGGCCGCGGCGTGCGCCCGCCAGGGTTTGTCCGTGCCACCGGCGCATCAATCCCCCGTGTGCACCACACTCCCTGTGTACACGACAATGCCCTATGCCTGCGTGCGACACAGCGCCACCTGTGTACACACCAAAATGCCTCCGTACACCACAACAGCCGCGCGCACTGCAGCACCACGTCGCCCATGCACACCGCACCGCCTGTGTAATATTAGCAAACGTTGCTTATGATACGGTTCTACAGAAAGCCATAGTTGTGACAAGATTCTAATACGAATCCCAATGAAAAATCGAGTGCCGCTGGATTCCATATAACCCACTTTTTATATACAAATTGGAAAAGACATCGCTATGCAAAGCGAGGCGCCCCTGGATTCCGCAAAACCTTCTGTTTGATACAAGAATCCCTCTGGAAATTGGGGCGCTTCTGGATTCCATAAACTGTAAGCAAAAAGCATGTTGCTTTACATTCTCAAAAAATGCCCATGGAAATTGGAGCGCCTGCGGGCTCTACACGCATGCACCACAACGCCCGCGTGCACCACAACGCGTGCGTACACCACAACAGCCGCGTGCAACACAGCGTCGGCGTACACCACACTGCCTGCGTGCACCACAGCGCTCACGTACACCACAGCGCCTGTGTACACCGCAGCAGCCGTGTGCAACGCAGCGCCAGTGTGCACCAAGCTACCTGCGTGAACCACAGCAGCTGCGCACACCACAACGCCTGCGGGAGAACGCGAGGGGCCGCCCAGTCTTTGTTTATAATCAAAACACGTGCATTCAGGACGGGTGGTAAGGACGCAAGACCCTTGGAGGCCGACGTTGGGATCTTGCTTGCAAAAGCTGGCCAGTGAAAGCGGCAAAGGACAAGCCGCAGAGGCAAGGACAGAAGGTTACCCTGGAGAAGGCGCGTGCCCTTATTAGGCGCTGTGTCGGTATCGCACTGCAGCCGAGCACCGGCCAGAACGAAGAGAGAAAGCCACCGCATTTTGCACGTGCGGAGGAGTGATCGAACCAGCCTGCGGTAGCTGAGCCATCGCCAGCTGCACTGGACGACGACGACGACGACGACGACGACGACGACGACGACGACGACGACGACGACGACGACGACGACGACGACGACGACGACTGCGAGCGCCACAGCACGTTTGTGAGCACCAATGCGTGCCGCTCAGACAACGCCATGCCTGTGAGCACAGCGCCATACCTGCGGGAGGTCCGCTCCCAGCATGTAAAGGGGAGGGACAGGCACCCCCCCCACAGCACGATCGTTAGCGTTACCCGGGGGGGGGGGGATTGACCGGGGTAACGACCGTTGCGCCGGATAGAGAAAAAAAACCCTCACGAATGACCGAAGCAACGGGAAGCCCCGTCCGAACCCGAAGCGGTCCTTATTCCAGCGCCCTAACAGTCCTACCATCGAATTAAAAATGTGTTTAAACTGTCGGACAGATGTCCTGACAATGTGTAAAAAAATGCGTTCTGCACTTAAAAACTGTTTTTGCACATGTTCTGGACACCTGGAGATGATTTGACAACATGCTTCCTCTCCATTGATCGTCCTCCACAGCTGTAGCGTCGGAAGACCCAGGAGGGCGGTCAGAACTTGAATGTCTGCGGCCCAGTGACAGACGGCCTCCTGGAGGCAGCACGAGCTTGGCCCGAGCGGGCGTCCGCGGTGGCCCAGGGCGGCCCTGGCATCCGTGTAGCCCTGGGGCGCCGAGCGCCAAAGGGAGGGGGGGGGCCGCCAGAGGCGGCGCCAGGATGCTCGGGCCGCCCAGGACTTGCGGCAGGGGCCCGACCACAAGAAACCTTCCACAAGGAGCCGAAGCCTGAGACCCCAGGACGTCCCTCGATTCTTGGCGTGGGTGCGTCACGCCTGCCATCGCAAGACCGTCGAGACCCAGGAAACCCAGGGTAGCCTGAAGGCAAGCAGGCAGGGTGTTTCTTGGCATGGGTCTCCACTGTACCCTTTCTGGGGTCCCAAACCGTCTGGTGACGGAGCGCGGGGTGACCACGGAATCCCCAGCGACCTCACCGCGCGGTCCGTCACCGGGCGGTCTCTTGGGACTTCCGAGGCCCCGGTTTGCCCGAGACGTCCTCGGAGAACGGCCCGTCGGTCACCGCACGGTCTTGAGGCCTCGAGGCCCCGTTTGGCTGAGGAGACATCCTCGGAGACCGACTCTCGGGTCCCGAGATCCTGCGGCGCCCTCGCATCCCCACTGACCCAACACGCGGTGTGGCCACGACACCGCTTGGGGATTCTCCACTGTGCCCTGTAGACTTGTTCAAAGACAGCCAGGGCCACGTACATCTAGAGGCTGTCTGCGCAGCCCGAACCCTTGCCAGTCCACAGGCCATTCCTCCTTCCCTGGCTGCCAATCCGCGGGCCTCGATGCTCCTCTCCACCAGGGGCTCGAGCCAATGCGGGATCTCGGCACCGGCATCCTTCATGATACCCAGGAGCTGCTTCAGCACGTCCGAGTTCTCGATAGTGAGCTCGCTGTCGTCGTCGCACGCGATGAAGGTGATTGCTCGGCCCTTGTTCCCGATGCGCCCCGTGCGGCCGATGCGGTGCACCTCCAGTGGCCAGCGTGTCTGACGTGTTTTTGTCATACGCGGGTCGACGTTTTTGTTACCGGGGAGGGAGGAGGGGAAGGAAGAGAAGGGGATGGGGGAGGAGGAGGAGGAGGAGGAGGAGGAGGAGGAGGAGGAGGAGGAGGAGGAGGAGGAGGATGAGGATGAGGATGGGGAGGGGGAGGAGGAGGAGGAGGAGGAGAGGAGGAGGAGGAGGAGGAGGAGGAGGAGGAGGAGGAGGGAGGAGGAAGGGAGGAGGAGGAGGAGTGGAGGAGGAGGAGGAGCAGTGGAATGGATGAGCAGGAGGTGGAGAATGGAGAAGGAGGGGAAGGGGGACAGGGAGGGGGAGGAGGAGGGAGAGGGAGGAGGAGGAGGAGGAGGAGGAGGAGGAGGAGTAGGAGTAGGAGCAGGAGGAGGAGGAGGAGGAGGAGGAGGAGGACGACGACGACAACGAGGAGGAGGACCAGTGCAAACCAAGACTGATGAACGATATTGCAATAAACCCTCTCTACAAAATCCCGATTCAGAGGACCCAACAAAGCTTCAGATTCACTGAGGGAATTGCCCTGCTGGAAAGTAACGTCTAAAATCCTGAACTGTGCCAGAACACGCTTCCTGCATCCTGAATCGCGCAAGAACACCATTTCTGGGACGTCAACACCGCGAATCAACGCAACTGTTGCGCCCTGACTATCGGACATGGTGCCAAACCATAGTTCCTGTGACGTTAACGAGGAGAACCCTTGAAGTTGCTGGACCTCTTGAAACGAATGTGCGCTGCGACGAGGCAAGAGCCACATTTTGCAAAGGAGCCGCCCTCCATACAGAAGACTCGTGTAAATTGCTCAGACGAGTATGCGGGGTGTTGAGACGAGAACCACATTTTGAAAACCAGCCGCCCTCCATCCGAGAAACTCTCGCAAACTTGTAAACCGAATGTACGCGGCGCTAGAGCGAGAGCGACATTTTGAAAACGGCCCACCCTCCATCGGTGAAACTTCAGCAAATTCTTAATACGGATGCGAGAGGCGCTAGGCGAGAACCACATTTTGAAAGCGGCCTGCACTCCATCCGAGAAACTGCTGCAAATATTAAGCTGCAAGGTCTACATAGATGGTGAGGAAGTCTCAAATGAAACGCCCGGGCGTTCTTTCGACCGGCCTCCGTTTGCGACAGGGAGGAGATACTTATAAGGAAAAGCAATGAAATCGGCGCGACCCCAATTAGAGGAAAGCTTCCTATTGCATGGGCGCAGTGCTTGGCATTGCTTGATATTGCTAAGCAAGGCTTGACATTGCCTGGCATTGTTTGACGTTGTTTGGCAGTGCTTGACATTACCTGGCAGTTTGGCATTGCTTCGCATTGCTTCGCATTGCTTGGCATTGCTTGGCATTGCTTGGTACTGGCAATGCTTGGCATTGCTTGGCATTACTTGGCCTGAGGCACCGGGGGCGGGGGAACCCGGGGAACCCCTGGGGAACGGGCGATCGAAGGATACGAGGCACTGGGGGCGGGAACTTGGGGAATCCTGGGAACCCCCGGGAACGAGCAAAGTAATATTAGGAGACACCAACTATTAATCAAGTAAGAACACCTGAGGCAAGCCCAATTGGAGAATAATGAGATGAACCCGAGGAACCCAGGGAATCCGAGGAACCTCCGGGAACAGGCGTCGTGACAATAGGAGGCACCAGGGGGCGGGGAACCCGAGGAACCCGAGGACCCCGAAGAACCCGAGGAACCTCCGAGCAACGGGCAACCTAAGAATACGAGGCAACGACCTCTGACAAAGTAAGAACCTCCTAGGCAAACCTAATCGGGGAATAAAGGAAGATGGAAGAGCAGGAGGAGGAGGAGGAAGAGGAGGGGAAAGGGATGGAGAAGGCGGGGGAGAAGGAGGGGAAGGGGGAGGGAAAGGGGGAGCAGGAGGAGGAGGAGGAGGAGGAGGAGGAGGAGTAGGGGAGAGGAAGGAGAGGAGGGGGAGGGGGAGGGATATGAGGAGGAGGAGGGGGAGGGGGAGGAAGAGGAGGAGGACGAGGAGGAAGAGGAAGAAGAGGAGGGGGAGGAACAGAAGGAGGAGGCAGGGGCGAGTTCGCTGGAATTCGCCGGTGATCGCAGCGTTGTGGGAAGGGCAGGGAGGGGGGAGCAGGGAAAGGGGCAAGACGAGGGGGGGGTGTCGAGGAGACGCTTTCGTGGATGTCGAATCCAGAAGCGAACGTCGAGGTCATCGTTGTCGTCGTGATCGTCGTTGCCCCTCTGTCCCTATCATCCTCCCCCTTCCTCCTCCTGCGGGTGCCTTGTAACCTCCCCCTCGCTCCCAGCCTCCTGAGCTTTGTCCTCCTCCTCCTCCTCCTCCTCCTCCTCCAACTCCTCCCCCTCCTCCTCTCCTCCTTCACGTCCGCGCGCAGGGGGGGGGCTCAGGAGAAGGGGGAGAGGGGGAACAAGGTCGAGGCTCGAGTGGCACCTGGAGGCCTGCAAAGACCAAGCGCCCCGACTAAGCTTAGGCCGGGAATGCCCTCCTACAGGCGGATTTTGGACGAATCATACCACAAGATACACAAGCATAATACAAAAATAATGAAAACATCGTCCCCAGACTGTTTGGCAACATGCCCGACTCAAGACTGAGCGAATTGTCGGATCCTGGCGCCCCTCACTTTCGGCCTCGGAGAGCCGCTCTTCGGGCGCGCCCCCGGGCCCAGGCCCTCAGCAAAAGCTGGCGGCGTGCAAAAGGGGGGTAGGGCCAAGTGGGGGGGAAGGCTTCTTAGAAGGAGGCTGCTTCTTAGAAGGAGGCTGCTTCTTAGAAGGAGGCTGCTTCTTAGGAGGCTGCTTCTTAGAAGGAGGCTGCTTCTTAGAAGCCACCGGCCTTACAGCTGCAGATGACGCCCCCGCCTTCCAAGAAGCAGGGCCGTTTCTTTCTAAGAAGCCTGCCCCCCTTACCCTACTCCGCTCTGCCCCTGGCCGAAACACAGGTACAGGATGAAGAAATGCCCCCCAGGGGAATCGGGACGGGCGAAAAGGGGGGATAGCAAAAGGGGGGGGGGGAAATCAGCTCACGTAGCTGATTTTCCCGGCGTCTCCCGGCGCCGGAGGCGGCTATGCATCGAGGAAGGGGCCCCTCGGCAGGGCCGAAACCGGCTGCGTGCAGCAGCTTTCGTAAACCCCCTTTCCCAATCCCCCCCTCCTCGTCCGGCCCGAGGGAAGCGTTCGAGATCCGCGGACTGCACACAGTGCGGGCGCGGCCGCAAGGAACCCCCGCAAGAAACCCAACCCTGAGAACCCGTGCGCGAGGTGCACCCGAGGGGAAGCCCGGAGCACCCTGAGCGCAGCAGCTCCTTCAGCGGCTGCGGGAAGCCACCACGCAGCGCGCGGAGCGAAGAAACCCAGGACACCCTGACGAAAAGCATATGGGTTCTTGACGCGCGCCCCCACTTGACTACCAGACCACCCCAACCCAACCCGAAGACCCGAATTTGACCCGAATTTCGGGTTGGGGGGGGGGGTACGGATTCCATGTGTTTTTTCCATGTTCCCCGGCCCCCCCCCACTGGAAATCGAGGATAAATGTGGGCCTTCGGGTTGGGTTGGGGTGGCTTGGTGGGTGGCGACCACTGCAGCACCAGAGATACACAAAAACTCAGACGCTCGGAGCTCCGCGCGGCTGCCCTGGACCCGCGCTCGGCGGGCTCCCCTCCTGGACGCGCGGGGGGCGCGCCGGGAGAGCGCCGCGCCCGAAGAGCGCCGCCGAGAGAGGGGCCCAACGGAGCTCCGAGAGATGCGCGCGGGCCGTCGAGACGTGGACGTGTGCCGGCCAGTCGATGGAAGTGCGCGGGGACACGGAGCAGGAAGGCGGACGAAGCGGATGGGGCTCGGGCCCGCCCAGAGAACAGACCAAGCGACAGAAAGAGGCAAGCAAGACACTTCTTGAAGTAAAAAGGTGCTTGGAGTAGATTCGGATCTGGGAATCCAGAAGTACCGACGCTCAACGACCAGCGCGTATGCACTTTGATGTTCTTCGAGGATGGCACAGAAGTGAGTTCGTCGGAGGTCCAAGACGGCTCCTGGAGCGGTACGGCCGCAACAGGGTCAGCGGGCGCACGAGCCCGGCGGTCGGATTCCTCGGCAGCAGGGGCGGCGAGAATCGAATGACGGATACCAAGCGCACAGCTGGAGGGGCGAAGAGGAGGAGAAGCCCGAGGAGGGGGGTGGGAGGGAGGAGGAGGAGGAGGAGGAGAAGGAGGCAGAGGGAGGGAGAGGAAGGGGGGAGGGAGGAGGAGGGCGGAGGAGGGGGTCGAGGAAGGGACAGGAGCGTTCAGAGGGACTCGCGGAAGGAGAGAAGAGGGTGGAGCAGGAGCGGGAGGGGACAGAGGTGGAGGAGACGGAGGAGAGGGAGGGAGCGAGAGAGGGGGAGGAGAGAGAGAGCGAGGAAGAGTGAGGAGAGGAGCGAGAAACGATAGGAGGGGAGGGGTGAGAGAGAGAGGAAGAGTGAAGGAGGAGGAAGGGGAGCAGATGGGAGAGGGACGAGAGGAGGAAGAGTGAGGGTAGGGCGGAAGCCACACGGCGCGGGATGCCCTCTGAGCGCCCGGCGTACGAGTCAATGGTGTCCGGGAAGTCATAATTGACCACCAGACCTACCTTCTCGATGTCCAGCCCTCTTGCCGCAACATCGGTGGCTATCATGACCTGCCGCCCCGTTGCACTG